GCAAGCTTGCTTTAAGTTTTGGGGTTATATTTGCAGGCTTTACTATTGGTTTTACTGGGAAGGCAGACTTTAGCTGTATTATGTGCAGCATACCTGTATGCTGTCTTCTACAAAGGACATGTACGATACAGGCATGCAGAATGTTGTTTATGCACCCATATGTGCTATCACCTGACTTGTTTCCAATGTGGGAGTTTTTTCTTGATTGTTCATCTTCACAGAGAAAGTCACAGATCTGTGCATTCAGCATGACTGATGTAAAGGGTTTTGGTCACTTCACCTACCCCTAGGCATCTAAATATTGGATGTCTGCACCAATCCAATCTTTGCTGATTGCAGAAAGTCTGGGTGTCTAGGAAATAATTCCTCTCATATGCTTTGGAGAGCTGCTCTGAAGCTGGGTGCCTGTGAGACATCTCCAGTAGGGTGGGATGGGTCACTGTCTGGAGTCACAGCCCAGAGCCATCAAGCCTGCACTGGTAGGCTGTCAGCTGAGCTGGAATGTGTAAGACAAGAAGACAGGCCTTGTACCTTCAAATGGTGCTAAGGAAGATGGAAGGTCTGTTATTTTAGCATTTAGTCCTGAGCTATAGCTGATAGCCAAGGTTTCCATTGACTTGGAACAGTTGGACCATCCTTTGGATGTGTGAACCTTTCCTTATTTCTGGAGAAGCTGATCTAGTTTATAATTCAAGTGGGATGTGTACAGTGCTGACATGATAGGAGTTTTCTATGTTGTTTAGGTAATTATAACTTGATAGGGTCAAACCCACATGGTTTCAACACCGATTTTTTTTTTTTTTACTTTAATCTGTTACAGTTTTATTGTCTTTTTTTAAAGTTCATAGGAAGCTCACAGAAAATGTAAGCAAGGTGAGTAGTGTCAGACTTTGCTTGGAGGTTTATAAGTTTTAATTATTTAGTTGAAATAAAATTGCTCTGGAAAGTAATGATGGGGAAAGGACAAAATGTAATGCAAACCTGGGTAGGTATAAGAGAGAACTGAATTGGATTGTTAGTGTATCTTCCTTGTGAATTTGAGTTTTCCCATGGTGGACTGAACTGGAATAGATGCACAGGAATAAAGGTAAGCAACTGAAGTAATTCTCACCTTAATTCTGTTGGTGCTGAGCTGATAGAGCAATGTTGTATGTCTGATCTAACACTGAAAATTTGTTGCTGTGCTCCTTCTGCTTAGTCTGCTTTATGCCTTTATCAAGCTGAAAGCCTTTTGAAGTCTGTGGATCATTTTCTTTTCTTTGTATTGTATGTTGTTTCTAAATGAATTAGCTTCTAAGCTAATCTGTCACAGATTTAATTATAGCACACAATCACAAGGGACTTGCTTTTTCCTGTTACCAGGCAAGGGACTTTATTGAATAAGGAAAACAGTTGTGTACTTGATTCTGATTTGGTCTTTCACTTTGTCTGTTTCACTGTGGAGCTGCTCCAGTCTTTTCTTGCTAAAAGATTAAAGAGAAAGGTATCTGGATAAAAAGGATAGTTGTGTGTGTCTTCCTTGACCATAAGAGTATGCAGCAACCTGAAAGTGGTGTTTTCCATGCTTCAGAGAAGAGGAATTGTATTCAGAGGTCTTGGATTCCTCCTCCATGCTAGTCTACCACCTTAAGTCAAGGAGAGAGTTTTGTTACAACTTTTTAACCTCACCTTCTGTACTGTTTTCTTCCTGAAGGCTTCGCACTTGGACATGAGCCTCTTGATGTTGATACTCCTGCTCTGCTCACAGACATGTTGAGAGAGATTCATCAGTGCCCAAGAGCACTTTCTTGCTGCTATTTTTTCTAACCCCTATTTTCTTTCCTTGATTCCAAGGCTGTTTTGTTGTATTTTCCATGATGAAAGGTTTGGGATGATTCCTTCCCTCTCTTTGCTAGCAGTATACCTTACAGCTACACTTCTTTCCTCTGTAGCTTGCTCTATAACATTCTTTAGGGAGGGATGATCTCTTTGCATTAGGCTCGGGGTTTGCCAGACCTTTCTGCAGATGTTATATAGATAATATTCTGTGTAGCATTAGGAATAGGTGAGAGAGATTTGGTGAAAGTTCTGCTGCTTTTTTCTCCCATCCCCTGCATGGTGCTTTCTCTAGTTATGTAGGCAATTAAATGTTTTCTCTGCAAACATGGTCCCTTCCCAAACCCTAAACTGTCTGTTGAATTGTGTTACCCATCTCGGAGGTGGTCAGCTACATCTGATTGTCCTGCTGGGGGAGCTGCTCAGGAGTTTCAAGCCAGGAATCCGTACTAGCTTTGCTTCTGGTAAACATCATGGCAAGTTGATGTACCTGAATGCCCAGGTGCAAGATTAAGCCAATGGCTATTCCTTCTTCCTCTCCTTTCTCTCTCATTCTTGATCTATTTTTTTCCATCTTATAAAAAAAAAAACAAAGCATAAGTGGTCTACGCCACAGAAATATGTTTGTCACACTACACCACTTTGAACTGCATAACATCAAAGAAAATCAGTGCTTTGATAACTTGATTTGAAAGGGTTGTAGAAATAGCCATCATTATGAATCACAACAGAGAGGAATGGAAAATATGGTGATTTTCAAACAGCAGAGCTTGGAAAGTAGGGGAAGATGTAAAGTGGATGCCAGTGCCACATCATCTAACAAATCCCAGCTACACAACTGTTATGTAGCTTTGCAGAGCATATTTTCTTGAGGATATGAAGAGGAATGAAAAATACTAGGTGTAAAGAGGAAAATGTGGGCGCAGGAAAGGGTTGTAACAAGGGAGAAAGCAATGCGTACTGCTTGGGTAGAAATTTCTTCCACTTCCTCCTCTTCATAAAACCACCCTTTCTGAAGATGAAGGGCATCCAAGATTGCTTGCTGAGACTCTCCTCACCCTGAGAGGAGACTTCAGTTCTTAGGGGTTGGATATAGGGAAGAGGAGAGAAGACCCCCAGCGTTTCTGTGCTTTGTCACTCCTTTCCTGAGAAAACTCTCTCCATGGACTGGAATGAGTTTCTGGCTCTAGGAGGCTGCAAGAAATTAGACCTTAAAGTGATTTTCTCAACTGCAAATGTTTTAATCTAGAATTTTGGCAGTTCAAATTGGACTTTTGCTTATTCTTACCTTCAGTCTAACAGACAGGAGTTAGGGCATTAAGACAAGGTAGCAGCCAGTGGAATGCATGGTGCTAGTTAGATGAAATCAGTATGTCCTGTCCCGTCCTCATCCCCAGACTTGTAAGTTTTGGGTAGTGTGGAATGTTTAGAAGGTTTCAATGACATTGACTTGAGAGACTATTTGCATTCAGACACAGCTTTATCACTAGAACTCATTAATACTTATGCTCTGGTCTTATCTTATGAAGAGTAAAGGAGAAGATATGAACATAATTATCTCTTTTATCAACTGACCAGTTCATATGTTTACTTCTTCCAAGAGGGCAGGGGAAGAAGGAGATTGAAACAGGACGTGTCTCATACTGATTTACTTGGTAGTGTGTATTGCAGAGAATCAGTGGCCAAATGGCTCTGGAGTGTGAGAGAGGCAGAAATGAGCCAATTGTGTTGATTAGGTTATTCTAATGATTTTTTTTAGAGCAGGGGGAACATGGTGACATCATTTGATGTGGGAAAGGAGGAGCTCAGTTTATGCCTAGAATAGCTGACCTGCAATCTTTTCTCAAATCAATGTAACTTCTACTGAGAGAAAAGATGCTTTCAGCTGGAGAAGTCACATAATTACACTAAATGAAATTAATTATATTGACAAAAGCAATCGGTCAGTTGACTTCTATTTGAAAAACTCTTGTTTAACCAATGCTTTTGCAGTAAAAGTGATGTAGAAAGATTCTGCTACTCAGTATTTCTAACCAGCTGCAGTAGAAACCATCTGAGCATACAGCATGTGCCAGAGTGGAGCTCTGGTGCTCTGGCTGAAACTGTAAATATCATGTGGGGACACTGGCATTTGAAGGACAAGCAGAAATTCTGTCACGTGAGCTGTGTGTAGAGGTGTTGTAAACAACCACAGACATCTTGATGTACCTTACCCAAACATTTTTAGCCTCACTTCCTGAGCAGATTGTTTAATGTGACTATGCTGTCTGTCTTCAGCCATCCACTCTAGTATCATATGAACCTTTTGGCTCATTTTAGTCACCATTGAAAGACAGAAGTGTCAAGTACATTGAGTTTTTGGGTTTTGTGAAAACAGGTGGTCAGATGAAGGAGATGTCTGCATTAGTTCTTTCCAACCAAAGCAGCAGCTTTTGAATACATTGTTTTTCCCCAGGGGCTCCACGCAAGAGGGCATGGAAAGAGGCAAGGGATCTAGCTGTGAAAAAAGTGTCAGGCAGACTCAGACCTTGTAAGACACAGAGTAATGCAATTGTAAGGAAATAAACCCTGCTGGGAACTGAGCTGTGTCACTACTGCTAGTCAAGAACTACTCATTCTCAGTGTGACTGCAGCTCAGTTATTATTCATGATCTGACTGGTTTGCCTTGGCTGTGCTAATTCTGTGGCTGAATCTTACCTGCCAAGTCAGCATCCCTTCTGGCTGTCAGCAGGAGCTGGCTTGCACCCCTGCAGGCAGACAGTGCTGGCCCATTCTCTTGTGGGGAAAATGGGAGCTCTCTGGAGCAAGCATACAGTAGAATGTGGCCTGTCTAAGCTTCAGGCCATGGTTTTCAGATGGCCATGGCTTTTGAATGCCCAGTGTCTCACAAGCAAGTCTTCTGCCTTTGTTTCTTGACAAGTGCTAGGTATCTTTTGACTGCTGTTTGAACTCTTTGTCACAGATGCCCAAGTTAGTGTGTGCTTTTTCAGTGCTAGTCCAAGAATACTGATACTTATTTCTCGATTTTTTTTTTTTTTTTATGGAGTGAGAAATGTCTCTAGGGTGCAATAAATAAAATATTAAAAGCATCTCAAATGGAGGAATACTTTTCTGACTCCATCTTGAAGGTGTGTGTCTGGCTTGGTGTACAAACCCAGACTTTTGCTCCTCTTTTTTTCTCTAGGCTGTCAGCGCTCCATAGGTTTGTCCAATGGGAAGGCCAAGGTGTGCAGCTACAGTGGATGGTATTACTGCAGCACCTGCCATGTGGATGACAACTTCCTTATCCCTGCACGGCTGGTTCATAACTGGGACACTTCCAAATACAAGGTAATCTCCCTGCAGGTGGAGTGCTAGCAAGTGAACTGCATTGCTGATGGAAACACAACAGCCTGAAGGCTGCAGGCACTGACTGCTAATACTGTTTCCTTTCTCCCTGTTGACAAAATGAGCCTCACTCTCTCAACAAGACATGTTTTCATCACAGTTTCCTTGGCCAGATCTAAGCCATGCTCCTCCTTCCTGGTGGCATCTTTTTCATCATTGCTTATCTGGCTGTTCAAGGGACAGGTAGCACACAACAGCAGCTCTAATTCTTGCAGTTATTGGAGCCTTGAGGAGTACCTGTTTCATGACCACCAGGTACTAAAGATTGGCACTGCTTACTGAATCCACTAAATTGTGGAAATACCTATAGGAAACTGGCTTACCAAATGCAATGTTTGTGAGGCCCAGTATGTCCTGTCTCTTGGTATGAGCATTTTGAGGGCACTAGAAGGACATTGCTGCAGCACTTGATTGAACCAAACAGATGAAAGTAACACAACAAGAAAATTCTGCAGTTGTTCACTTGCCACACAAGAGCTTTTCTAAAACTTTTATAATCTGCTATTTGTTGCTGCCTCGGTGGCTGGTTGCTAGATAGGGGCACTGATTACATGCCTCAAAGCATTATACCAGCAAACACAGTAACAGTGTTGTTTTGCCATCTCAGGCAGTATATGCTGAAAGAATAACAAACACATAAGGAATCCAGACCATGCTAGAGCTTCAGACCTAGCAGCCACTGTTAGGAGAGGCTGTTTGATGTTTTGTGTCTGCAAATATTATTATTATTATTATGTGCTATTTGAAAAGGAAAAAAATAACCAGTAAATGCCCTATTAGGGGAAAAGCAGGCCTCTTGAAGAAAATTTGTCATATGGGGAGATTATTAAAAGGTAGCCAGAGCCTGCTATCATGAAAATTATAGTCTTGCTCTGTGAAATGCAAGATTCTTCAAAGTTGCAAAGCTCCAAGGTGTGGAGACAAAAAGCCCTCCTATGCCTAGAAGTTAGGAATATTTAAAAGTTCTTTTTTTGGATGCTTTTACCAAGGACTAAACTTGCTACCACATGTTAGTATAAGCAGAGCTGATATGGGGCTAGTGGATGGTAAGGCAAAGGCCTCGTATCAAGCTGTCAGTAATACTGCCAAGAAAATTAGTTGGGTTTTTTTCTAAACCTGCAGCATAAAAACTATGCTCTAACCTGTTTCCTGTGGTAGAGGCATCTGAGGCACCAAAAGAAGCAGGACTTTAAAGCTTAAGCATTCATTGAAAACTTAATCTATTGTCATCTCACTGTAGTAGTGAGAAATTTTGTTTTGCACTTTTTGTAGACAGAACAGGTATGAGATGTCTTGGGAACACAAGCAAATTCTGTGCAGCGGCTTTACCTGTCGTTGTGTGAAAGTGCTCAGAGAGGTGAATTTAAGAAAGGAATACAACCCCTGAGGTAGGAAAAAACAACATCATCCCCAACTATTGGAGCAGGAACTAAGGCAGGGAGGGAAGGTGAAGATAAGCACACTGCCCTGCCCTTTGTAGGTAGCACAGCACTGCCTGAAAGTGGAGCTTCTGCAGAGGGGGACATGCTCCTGGCTGTACTTCTGGCTGCACACCCCAAAGAGGTCCTGCAGGAAATAAGCACATACCACGTTTGATGATTAGGACTGAGAGAGGGCTCCAGGATTCAGAAGCTTCTTTGTTTTACACAGTCTGAAATGTCTGTCAGTCCACCAAATTGGAAGCAAAAGTGAATGAAGAGTTTGCAAACCTACATTTCTTTCCACTGCCACCTATTCCCCACCTCCTCAGGTGTTTTGGGATCTGTCCTGTTTCTGGTAAAGCAAGCATCAAAAAGTACTGTAGGACATGAGCTTTTACAGTGGAACTGTACATGGTTCTCTTTTTATGTTACATAAGCTCAGCAGCTGTAAAATAAGCTGTGGCATCAATTTAGTTTGGAAATTGAGAGGTTCTTGTCTGGTTTTGGCAAGACAGGTCATGAAAATCAGAAAGAATGAACCTCTCTAGAGCTGTCTCTTCCCAATACCCAGGATCCTGAAAAACAACAATGCACTTAACATCTGGTAGCACATGGGTAGGAAAAGAGAAATCATCTTGGCTGCAGTAGAAGCTCTTTGAAAGGACTTGGCAGTTAGACATGTTTCTTCTGTCAAACCAAAGCTGCAGCTCAGTGCCCAGGTTTGCTTTTTTCCCCATGTCTCCTACTGTTTTCATATTTGTATTTTTCATGTGTTTGTGTGAAGGCAAAAGAAAAGAGGCAGTTTTGTGAACACTCTTTCTTCCTTTTGCTTAGGCCAAGTGTTTTCCCTGTTTGCATGCAAAGCCCATTGAATATTGCAGTTTTTTCAGGTGGCTTTCAGCCTGCACAAAACGCCAGACAAACACAGTAGGAAATTAACTCCCTGTGCCAGAAGGTTTCAGGAGAAACTGACTTAAAGTAAATTGAATTTTGAACTGTAAGTTTGCAGTCTTTAGAAAGGAAAGGTCTGGAAATGTTAGCGTCCATCCTTTTATGACATTTAAAGCTGAAACCCTGTTGCACTTTGCATCTTCTCACTTCTCGCTGATTTAATAGGATTGTTTTACTGCCCAGTAAAACTGGGGGACTGTGAATATGCTAGGATGTATACTAAAGTATTGAATTACTGTGACTGCCCAACCCTTCCTGTTTCAAGACTGTGTTTCAGCCTCTTGTAACATTGCTATGTTTGGCAATGTGAGTTAATGTTTTACAAGATATGTGTGCCTGTGTCAGCCGTGCAGAGTGGACTGACACCTATCTGTCAGCCAATGATGCTGGGCAGAGCTGCCTTTCCTGCAATCAGCACTCCATGGGTGCATTTTATTGGCAAGAAGAGGGGAAGGTTTGCTTTGCCCTTCTCTCCTTAAATGCTGCATTCAGACCATGCAGCACCACAGTAGTGCTTGGTCACCATAGTGCAGGCATGTGGCAGAGTCACTCTGGGGACCTCAGTTGTGGCATCTCTTTGTTTCTATGCTCCTGATGCTTTAGGAGAGATGCCCAACGTGGGGTTCAGGTGTGCACAGGTGTGAGTGCAGTATTTGGACAGGAACCACCCCCCAGTTCCCAAGACAGCAGGGCAGGTGGGTGAGGAGCCCATCACTTTGACAGAGGCTTAAAGCAAGGAAATAGACAAAGACAGAACTGAGCACCTGATCCTCCTGGTGGGAGGAGCTGGTCACTGTGCCAGGCATTCACACACCTCCTCAGGAATCATGGAATATGTCCTTTAATTTGCTCATTGGTGGAAGAGGACTAATAATTACATAGATAGGGAAGTTGCCAAGGGATTGCTGAGATATTGTAGTCAGATAGTTATTGATTGTAAAAGCAGATTGTTTAACTGCAGTTTTTTAATGCACTGCAATAAGCATAATAAAATATCAGTGTTGCTAGTGTTAAAAAACTTGATAAGTTTGGAGTTTATAGAATTTTGTTCTACAAAATCTGAGGTGCTTTTGTTGTAACATTAGCTCTGATTCCACTCAGATGTCACAGTTCTTTGTACATGCAGGATATTAAAAAAAAAAAAGAAATTAGTGGGGTGCTTAATGTAAATAGGTGGGATATTTAATACAGCTTCAGGACCTAGGAAACATGTGGAGTTATGGTCTGCTATATTTAAAATGGCACATCTTGTTATCTGTGTAGTTGTTGGTGGAAGGCTGGCCTTGGCATATTTCTTAGATTGGTATTAAATGTTGTGAAAAGGTTACATCTGGGGCTTGCTTCCCCTGTCAGTAGCTAGTTACTGGTGCTGGTTTTGGAAGTGGTACTATTTATAAGGATGTGTATTGTTCTTACCTACAGCCCCAGAAGGGAAATAACTTCCTAAATCTCAAGAGGCTGTAGCATGTGTGCCCTTTCTACTTTTGTTAGCCTAACTCATCCCTCCCTTGTCTCAGTGTAAACATTGACTTAGAGGTCCAGGAGGACTAATTGAATAGTGGAACCAGTAATATTTCTGTAGCAGAGTTTCAGGTGATTTGCAGCTCATTTCATGTAATCCTATCTTCTCTTTTCCAGCTGTGATAAAATGCAGAAATCAGGAATGAGAGGGAATTTGGCCTTTTCACTTAAGGAACAAGAGTCCCTTCATTTATCGAGATTACAGTAGCTTTTTGCAGGTGGAGATAAAACAGGGCACTATCATGAAAAATACATGAAAAACTTTTTGCAGATGGAACTTTGGGAGTAATACCAGTAAGATTCAGTTTTATTTATCTGTATTTTAAAAAGCACAACAACTTGCCTTTTGCCAAAAAGAAAGCCGCGAACAAACAGAAAAATATTACCAGGGAAGAAACTGGTTGTTCAGATTTTACACTTTAAAAAAAATCTAGTAAGCTGTGTTACTGTGCAGCAAAAGCATATGTGACTGCAGATATCACTGTACTTTGGGTAAGTAGCTATCTCATACATTCAGTTTTGAAGGGCTTGAAGAAGTTTGACTTGGCTATAAGCAGAGAGAGTTGGATCTCTCTCAACTCTGTCTCCATTTTTAATTGGTAACAGACTAAGTTTTTAGATGCATAGAATAGCTGACACATCACAGAGGGGGAAATGTGCTTAAAAAGAGTTTGGAAAAAAGCCTAACTAAACTGCTTTATTTTTTAGGTGTCAAAGCAAGCCAAAGAGTTCCTGGAATATGTTTATGAGGAGCCATTAATTGATATCCAGCAGGAAAATCCCATGTTGTACAATCATGCTGAACCTCTGGCAACTGTTGTCCGCCTGAGACAGCAGCTGAAATCCCTGCGAGCCTACTTGTTCAGCTGCAGGGCAGCAGTGGCTGAGGATCTGCGGAGAAGGTAAGAGCCACAGCCAGCCTGCAGCACAGGGATGGCATGTTCCTTGGCATGTTGGCTCTCCTGCTGCCTGTTTTGTTTTCCCTTGCACTCTGGTTCTGAAGGCATTACCCATTTAGAAAGGTGTTGTGCTATATCTGACTTCCCTGGGAAGCTGGGTTATCCTCTGCCAAAGAAAGCGATGTTTTAGGGTCTGAATATCTGAAGTTGTTCTTGACAGCTATTAGCCCTGGGGCATCACACATTGTGGTGAGCATCTTTTACTCCTCCTCAGACTTTCTGGCTGTGTGTGAGTATTTTCAGTCAGATCTGCTAACTCATGCCCCCTGCCATGGCATCACAGTGAGGTAATCACTACTGGGATCTTTGAAATCTTTGTCACATTGTGACAAAGCATGAGGGGGGCCAGAGTCAACCACCTTTCCAGCACCTCTGCTCTCCTCTGTGGTATGACCTTGCCAAAGGCAGAGGTCAGATGCAGTCCCCTGGCACCTGACCCAGCACATGATTTATGCTGGTCTCTTGCTCAGCCACTATCCATGAGATGGCTGCACTGAATGTTTTGTTTATTGGCAAATACATGGTCACAGCAAGCAAAAGGTGTTTCATATTGAGTTTGCTGTGGTGAAAACAGGAGTTTTATAAAAGGTGAACTTCATTTTAGACTTCATCTTAGTCCATTCAGCTGCTACTGCATTTTTCTAACAAGGTAAAAATGAATAATTTTCTTAAAACTGTCAAGCCACTGTTGTGGTCTTAAAAAGGCCACAAGTAGTTCTTGGTGTGGATCTCCAAAAGAAATGTGTCTGCCCGTGCCATACTGTGAAGTGAGTGGCTCTGGGCACATGCAGCTGACCTGATGGATCTGTAAGCATTTGTGTACCCCAGTTTTTAAGACAAGACTTCAAGTAGGAAAGCCACTGCTTTGAAATGGTAAGCTGCCAAAGGGCAAGGAAGAAGATGACATCAGTGACTGTGTTTTGAACACGGTGTTCTAGGGACCTGAATTCTTTGGAAGGGAGAGGAGACTGAACTAGTGTCTTTATCCCAGGTAAGGAGAGCTGGGCTGCTTTTGGATACATAACCTGTGTCATTGCTTTGATGAACTACCTAGAACAAGTAGGAGAAGGATACAGCAACAGGTTTATGGAGAGCATTGCACTGTGGGTTAATATGTGATTGTGTGTTACTACTCAATTCCTGTTATTTGCTAGGGCAGCTTACAGCATTTTAAAAATTAGCATGGTTTTCTTTTACTCCAGAGGATGGTATTTTCTTGCAGAGCTGGTTTTCTATGCCATTCTTTTCAATAAAACTGAAGAGAAAAGAAGATTTTTGAAGGTTGTTCAGAAGAAGTAGAAGAAAGGAAATTATGCTTTCTGATTAGTATTGAAAAAAGTAATTCTCTTATTAAAATAGGCAGAAGGAGGCAAGGAATTCAATGGACTTGGGTAAGACAGTAAAAGAAGAGCGTTCAAAGGAGGCCTAGCATAGCAATCAATTAACTAGAGGTAAAAAAAAGGATCAGGGAAAGCCAGGAGAAGGAGTTTCAAACAAGGAAGAAATCTCAGGAAATTGTGTTAATGAAAAAATCAGGACAAAAGAGGAATAACCCAAAATCTGCCTCCAAAATGAAGAAATGACAATTGCTAAGGAAATAGAAGAGGGAGTGGACAAAAATGTATCACAGAAATGTGAGCGTGCTCTTTTGGAGCAGAGAGGAGAGAGAAGACATCCCTGTGTCAAAATGAAACGACTAGAAGGAGAAACTGGGAAACAATGCTCCTGATACTCCTTTCTTATTCTTCACACCATCTCCAGTTAAAGCTGTGTGGTGAAGAGAAGGGCCCCAGCCCAAGAAAGGTTTGGTTTTATACTGGGGAAGCATCTCCAGTTGGATAGGACTTGCTACAAGTGTAAAGGAATGTGCACACCTTAGAGTCTGCCTCCTTCTTGGTTTGTGAAGTCTCCATTGAGGTGAATTTGGTGCTCAGTTGTTTCCTCAGATGTCACCTAAGAGATGTGCAGAGATGAGAAGAAGGAAGTTCTTTTCCCATAAAGATTTATTCCTTGCAAAAAATGCTCCCAATGGCTTTGCTGCCTTCATCCAGTATCCCGGTGTGCAGATGTTCACTACCAATGTGATGACTTTATAGAGCACAGCTGGAAAGTAAACAAAGAAAATATGTGATTTTAAATTTTCTTTTGGCTCATCCCAGGGGCAAGTTGCAAGAAAAGGAGGAGTTTAAACAATATGGTGAGACAGCATTCCTAAATTTAGTACTGTTTCCTAATTAAAAGTGAAAGATGGAAAGAGAGAATCCAGTTATCTGTCCTCCTCTAAAAACATTCTTTTTCTGCTTGGTCTTCACCTTAGTATGTGAATGACTATTAATCACAAGAGAGTGAACACAGCATCTTGAAGACCTGTCAGGCCCATATAAACAGACTGAAACAAACTGTTAATATTGCTGTCTACAGAGAACTAAAAACAGACTGATTAATTGTATTGGCACCTTGCTGCCTCTGGGACACTGATAGAGCCTGCCTTATTAGGGAAAGGCAGATCACTCTGAGGCTTCTTTTATTAATACTATTTGCATTATCATCTACTTTAAATCTATACCTTGCTCTTCAGCCCAGATCACAAAATGAAGATGGCAATGAAGTTGGAAACTCTTGGTGTCCTCTGTGAAGACAAAACTGTTTACAATGCTAACAGTCACTTTTTTCTGAAGAATTCCAGATGGCTATAAACCAGGTTAGCTCAGGATCCAGTTAGCTTAAATGTGGAAATGCTATTTATAATGTTTGGTGTGCCTAGATAGGTACTTTGAGAACTTTGAAACTTGGCATCTAGCAGGGAACTCGGGACTGAAACCACGTTGTGAACCTTGAAGACGCAAGTGACAAAGTAGAAAGAAAGGAAGGAAAAGACAGAAGAAATCCTTAATTATAGTAGCTAGAAGGCTCACAGTAAAAATGGTCTTTGTCAGTTATAGTGATTTATTCTCACCTATTGCTCCACTGGATTCTACACTTTTATATTTGCAGGGGGAAAAAAATAAGGAATATGGACTTGTCTGGGAGGTGAAATAAGGCCCTCCACCAGCATGTATGAGCAGTGTTCCTCTGATATTAGCCAGATGAGGTTCCCAGCCTGTTGCCGAGCTCCCTGTTTTACAAGGGATGTTGTTATGCCTAGTTATCTGTAACTGTCAGTATTGCAACACATCATTTGACTAAAATGTCTTTACTGAACAAGTTCTTGCTTGTTTTTGTTGTCTTGCTCATGTGGATGCTGCTCAGGCAGAGGCATACAGGACTGAAACCTAGAGCCAAAACAGGGTTAGTGCAAGTGGAGCTGTGCAGATCCCACCACCACCTGCAGATGGGGAATGAATGGCCCAGACAAACCAAGATGGAGTCATTAAAATGGATGGCTGGGAAGGAAACAGAATCTCTGAGTCCATTAAATAATTAGGGTATTCTATGAAACTGTGCTGAATGATGCAAGTTCTGTTCTGGGTTTGCTTTGTTCTTGTCATGATTGAAGATTCTTCAAGTCAAGGAACTGGCAGAATGATTTTTGAGGTAGTGTTCAGATGCCTGCATATCTACTGTAGGGTAGGGTAACCTAGGCCAGTCTTGGGGCTCCATCTGGGGAGCCCTCTGGCCTCTCTGCTCTCTCAGCTGTACATCTAAACTTGCAGTTCAGGTGCTGCTAGCCCAGATACTTTAGACAGATGGTAGTGACACAAGGTAAATGTTTTGCAGCACATTCCCCTATGCATTAGTGCTTGGTGTAGTTCCCTGGTACTGTAAGTAAACTTGAATGGTGGTGAGAAACTATATGGACAAACTTCCCTCTTGTTACTCATCTCAGTCTGATACCATTTGTCTGTCAGCTCCAGAACAGCAATACATCAGTTCTACCCAGCAAAACTCCAGTGCTAGATGCATCACTTAGCAGGCTCTAGTTTGTGTTCCTGTGTAGCAGGAGGAGGTTAAAGGTACACCTCCAGTGCTCCAGATGTGTGCTCTTGGCTGAGCCTGCTGGTCTGTCAGCGCAGGGTGGAACAAGCCCAGATTCAGTTATGCTGAACAATAGAGTCTTGTCACTTCCTACACTGAGGCCTTAGACATAACACTTCTGACACAGGAATAGATTACTTTCAAAATATTTGTGTGGTAACTGGAGGACCTGTCTAAACACATCACAGGAATACTGATTGATCTAATGCAATCACTATACCTCCAAATACCTCATGGATGTGAAGCTGGGGCTATGTCATCTTTCAGACCAAGGACAACAGAAGGTCATTAAGTCATCTCCAGACTGTCAAAGGAGACTCCATTTTCTTTGCAATGTTTAGGCCATTTGGGGAGTGGAAAATTCCAAAGCAGGAGAACAAAGATACAGATTCTGAAAGCAGTAAACTGCAAAAAGAAAGTTTGAGCAGGGATGAAACAGAAGGATGTGGTTTTGGGGCTCTGAGATAATGGCAAGACCAACAGAAGATGAAAATTTGTTGCATGGGTGGTTGGAAAGAGGGTGAGAGAGAAAATCATTCAAAGAGGATATCTACATATCCTTAGAGGAACAATTATTAAGACCAAACAACAAACCAAAGTGAGGAAAGGTGAGAAAATAAATGCAGAGAGGTATGCACAAGGCATTTGTTGTTTATTTAGATCCTGCATGTCTGTAGTCATTGCAGTGGCTGAAATAAAATTGCCTGTTGATGGAGCTGATACAAACAGACTATCTTCAGCTCTTTGCTTCAATTCTTTCTTTTGGAAGATGAAACTGTGCACGCAGGATCTTGCAAATTAGCATCTTAAAAAGTGTTTGGCTAAAACTGAGGGGATGGTGTTAGGTGGAATCTGAGCTTTCATTTCAGCTAGAGGTAACAAACAGCTGAAGCATTGAGATGTGTGCCAGAGCAGCCAGGGTGGAGGCAGTGCTGCTGTCTGTTCATGTCAAGGGAAGGTCAAAAGCA